AATAAATATTGGATTTCTTAATGTTTTTTTTTCCTTCCTTCCTTTACTTTTTCCCTGTTGTACTACGTTCAAATTTTTGTAGGCATGTATTGTTGAATTTGTTTGCATATCATGTATTAGTGTCTAAAATTCCCCCCAATCCTTCAATACTGTAATAAATAATTCATTTGTTTAGCTCGAGGGAGAGGAGGCTCAGAGGATGGCGAAACGACGTCTTGAACGTGAACGAGGTCGCAGAGAAGCAGTTGCTGATATGTCGGAAGACCTGTCTGAGGGGGAGAAAGGAGATCTGGTTAGTGACATGACAGCTCATGGTGAAAGCAACAGGGGCCGCTTGCCGAAAATTAGTTCTGTTGATAATATGGAGGCCTGGGTTAGTCAACAAAAGGGGAAACATCTGTATATTGTTTTAATAAGGTATGGTGTAATTTTTTTTTTATTTTTTCTTATTTATTTATTTTTTTTTGTTGGGTTGAAAAGAGTTGGTCATGACGTGCTTCCTGATGTATTCATTCAGATTAAGTTACCATGACATAGATACTTATCTCAAATTCCATGTATCAACGGTAAAAAATTTCTGCGATTAAGTGAGCCTCAGCCAAGCCACTAAGGATATGTTAGAATATGGACTTTCATGGTTTTTTTAAATGATGTAACATCCGCATTTTCCTATAACACTCGGATGCATGCTTTCTTGACAGTTGACACTTGTCTCATGCAGCCTTCATGGTTTAATACGTGGTGAAAACATGGAGCTTGGTCGTGATTCTGATACCGGGGGGCAGGTAGTGTCCAAATTCCATTTATATATCTCTGGGATACTTGATGTGTGCCACACCATGGAAGTTGGCCATGTTTTATTTAAAATTCAATTTCGTCTCCCTCAGGCTTGATTCTGTGATTTCATGTTGACAAAGGGGATTTCCTTGTTTGTTTTCTACAGGTAAAGTATGTTGTTGAACTAGCTAGAGCTTTAGGTTCGATGCCAGGTGTGTATCGTGTTGATTTGCTTACTAGACAAGTATCATCACCAGAGGTAGACTGGAGCTATGGTGAACCCACAGAGATGCTGCCTCCGCGAGATTCCGAAGGCTTGATGGATGAAATGGGAGAGAGTAGTGGTGCTTATATAGTTCGCATTCCATTCGGGCCAAAAGATAAATATATTCCAAAAGAGCTACTTTGGCCACACATTCCTGAGTTTGTCGATGGTGCTCTTAACCATATTATACAGATGTCAAAGGTTCTTGGGGAGCAAGTTGGTAATGGCAATCCAGTATGGCCTGTTGCCATACACGGACATTATGCAGATGCTGGTGACTCAGCTGCTTTGTTATCCGGTGCCCTGAATGTGCCCATGCTTTTCACTGGTCATTCACTTGGTCGTGATAAGCTGGAACAACTTTTAAGACAAGGCCGACTTTCACGGGATGAGATCAATTCTACATACAAAATAATGCGAAGGATAGAGGCAGAAGAGTTATCCCTCGATGCCTCTGAAATTGTCATTACCAGCACAAGACAGGAAATAGAGGAGCAGTGGCGATTATATGATGGTTTTGACCCAATACTAGAGCGTAAACTACGAGCACGGATTAGGCGTAACGTGAGCTGTTACGGTAGATTCATGCCTCGCATGGTTGTAAGTACACTTTATGATATAAGTTCTGCTTTGTTTTTTAGCATGTTGTGAAAATTCTTCTATCGTGGTGAAAAGTATCTGATACCAGGTTAAATTGCAGTAAGTTATTCATTAGGATTGTTCAGTGACTGTTCATTGTGACTTTTTACTAGAAGAAAATGTCAAAGAAGCTTCATGTACTGCTCATTTTTAAGTAAAATGCATGAAAGAGGACTGCACTGTGGTGCTAATGATTCATCATCCGTGAGTAGGGTCCTGTTTTCTGTTGCTGAAATTATTTTCCTCAATCCATTTGTTCGATAAAGCTCATATTTGGAAGATTGACATGATTTATTTGAATAGTGACAGTGAATCATAATAACATCAACTATTCATTTAGCTAGAAATGAACTGTGTGATGTATCTTGGAGTTCTCGTCTTCATCTGTAAACATACTTAATATTTTCCTTTCCATCAAATCTACGCCCTTTCTTTTTATGCTATTCTGATATCGCGTATCTGAGTGCCTAGTATTTATATGCAGGTAATTCCACCTGGAATGGAATTTCATCATATAATTCCACATGAAGGAGATATGGATGCTGAAACAGAAGGAAATGAAGATGGGAAGTCTCCAGATCCACCTATTTGGGCAGAAGTAAGACAGATCTTCACCAATTTAGCATTATGCGACAGTATTTCTATCTAGTCTACCATTTGTGAAAATATATCAACCTGCTTCTAGAAATTTTAAGCTTTGGGTCAATATAAAACAGGTTATATCTGTTAACCAATATATATTAATGCCATACACACAGATTATGCGTTTCTTCTCGAATCCGAGGAAGCCAATGATCCTTGCACTTGCCAGGCCAGATCCAAAGAAAAACCTAACCACATTGGTCAAAGCATTTGGGGAATGTCGCCCGCTAAGGGAGCTTGCTAACCTTGTAAGTAGCGTAGAATATGGATGTGCGGGAGTACTTTGTTGTCACCTAGAACTCATGTTGAATATTCTGTTCTGCAGACATTGATAATGGGAAATCGAGATAATATTGATGAAATGTCAGGCATGAATGCTTCTGTTCTTCTGTCAATTCTCAAGCTGATTGACAAGTATGATCTCTACGGCCAAGTGGCATACCCCAAACATCACAAGCAGTCTGATGTTCCTGACATCTATCGTCTAGCCGCGAAAACTAAGGTAAGCCCACGCCATGTTTCTCTTATTTTAAGATGGTTTATCGGTTATCAATCTGAACAATTATTAAAACTTGGTGAAACTTGAAAACGTTTTACTTTCTAGCAATTAACTTGAATGGTGTGGCAGTGCCATCTCTTGGAAAGTATTTCGTGATATCATTAAACTATCTTTACACGAGACGTTGGAGATATGATATCAACTCGTTATCACTTCACTGACTTATTAGTTAGTGAGTTTGTATCAGTCTCATCTATTCTAATAGAATTGTTGTGGCTTTTTGTGGCACCTAGGTGGATTTTTTCCGCTATGTATCAATATTTGATTTTGGCCCCAACAGACAACAATGATAAACATCTATATATATATAAAAAGGTTTGATTATTTTTAAAATAGTAACTATTTTCCTCCAAAAAATTATTTACTATTTCGGAAAATTAATTTAACAATTTATGGTATATTTCAAATGATCACATATGATAAGTGCGGCTCATTATTTAAGGAAATAATTAAGTCATATTTTAAGATACCTTAATTACGAATTAATTAATATATGGTATATAGTGGACGAATTTATTTTTGGTATTGATGGTTGTTTCTATAGAAATAAATTATCAATATATGGTATAAAGTGAGCAAATTTATTTAGGTTATTTGATAACTGTTTTTTATTTTAAGAAATTTCTTGAAAAAGGTGTACTTTTTCTGTAATGGCTAATATATTGGTTTTTAGGCATGAGTTTCAATTTTTATTTCAATTTTTCGTATAAAATTAACATATTAAAATTACCGTAACTCTGACAAAATAATATGATATTTTGATATACTGTGCATGTATCGATATTTTTTTGTAGAAAAATATCTTTGGTCTCGATTTAATTCATTTTTTTGTTACGACATTTCAAATAATTTTTGTGTAAAATGTACTGTTTATTTTTTTTAGTATGATAAAGTGTGTCGATTTTTTTGGCATAAAAAATCTTATGACTTATTGCTTTTACTCAACTACTTAAATTTTTTGATTTGAATATTTTATACAAAATAAATTCATTTTAATTAATTAAAAAATATAATTTTTATATTTATACTTATTATTCACATATGTTTTTAAATATGAGATAAAATTTTACCAAAATAATTTTTTTATGGAATCACATTATAGTCAAATCGAATTTCTGAATAAAAATTTTGAAATGACACATATTTTGAAATGATACAATGTAATTTATTATCAATTATGTGCAAACGCACGTGATGTGTACTAATTTTAAATAGACATTATTATGTAATTTTGCACAATTTAAATTTTATATAAAAATTTTAATAAATTATATAGGTACATTGTATTACATATTGTTTCCATGTTTCTAATTTATAAATATTATTTAATGATAATTTTTAATTTATAAATATTAATTAATATCTCTTACCCGTGCATCGCACAGGATTCGTACTAGTTTGTTATCAACATATTTGTCTGCTTAACTACCTAGCACTCTCTTGGTTTCAAAAAGTCTTTAATCCTATTCATCATCTGGCTACCGCAATTTCAACTTTGAATTTCTTTAGTTCAGTGCCTGTGTCATGGTAGCATTGCCTGTTCCAGCTTGCAGTTAACCCCCATTACTTTATTACTTCCAACTCTGTCAAGTGTTATGTATTTATTTTAGTTAAGTTGCGTATTTAAGGATAGAATAAGGTTATGGGAGGGCTTTTGCTTCAGAACCTTTTATTCATGTGTTAAGGTTTTTTAAGGCATCGAGAAAAAGAGTAGAGGAGCATATCGGTGTCCTAAATTTTTTATCTCGTAATAATTTTCAGTTTCTGTTTTCTTCCCTCAATTAACCCTTATTCTTCACTTTAAGCTAGAGTATATAATTGAATCTTCTTTGGGATTCTTCCTCGAATGTCCTTAACATATGATTGATTTTGGAAAAAAAAGTGATATCTATCGAGACAAAAAAAGAAAAAAAATAAAAAATCGTAAGTGGATTAGAATATTTATATCCTTTCTGAGTTGGGGAGTAACTACTGAAGTTGCATTTATTAGCTTTGGGTTCAACTTTTTCAATTTTTCTATGATCATGAATGAAGGCTTGGTGAAATGAAATAAACTTGGAGAAGAGGATTGCTCTTGATCAGAAACACTAGCTTGGGTGTTGTTTAACATGGGGAAATTCACATTAGAACTTACGGCATTTTCTTCTGAAGATGTAGGGTCTCTACAGTTGCTCTCCCAGTCTGCCATAGAAAATAACCCTAGGTCTAAACCTAGGCAGTGTTATCAATTTTCCGCCGTGGCAGATATCTGCCTAATCATCATTAGAAATTTGTGAAGGATGGCTGTTATTACACGCCATGGCTGCCGCTATGGTGGGAGTTTAGCCTGCCGCCATCTTCCACCTTCCACCATTGATAACACTGAACCTAGGGCTCTGATACAATGAACAAAAAAATAGAAGAAAAATGTGGAAGAAAAATAGTTAGAAGTAATTCCTTTCTTCTTATGCTTTAATATGATTTACATCAGGCCTTTAAATAGAAGAGTGCACTAAGTCTCACTCTTTGATTCTAGGAGCAGCATCAGTAATTGAGAAGGAAAAGAAAAATAAAAAAAAAATCTGAAGAAATCAAATATTCTGAAAATCCAAAGAATTCAAATCATAATTCATGATTCCATGACATCAAATCTCTCAACTTTCCAACGTTTTCCTGTTCTTTAATTTTCAGTCTTCATTTCTATTTTTAATGCACCCTTACTTTATCACAGAGACTGTCACGTGTCGTCCTTCAGTTTCAGTATGTTTCTGAGTCTCATGTGGATGGGTGCAACCTTTATCCTTTGAACTGTGTAGGAGCTCAGAGTCATGGGTCAAGTTGTAGCTTGCACGCCCCATGTTTTAAGTCGATTGCGGGAGGACCCCTTGATAGTACAACATATAGAACAATAAAAGACCATTAACTTCCCTTTTACTTACAAAAGTAGGATGGGAAAAGAACCCTGCTTTCATTCAAAACCAATCTGGTCATTAGGATATTAAAGCCTTTCAATGTTATAAATAGAGTAGTGCCTTTATCTAAGGTAAGAATATTCTGTTTTATGTTGAGGAGCTGGATTAGATGTGGGCAAACAAGTTGTTTCCTTAGGCGATTTAAGTTGACTGTGATACTTTGCATGAGTTGTAGACAACGCATGGCGGGATATCAATGCATTCTATTTAATGGCTCTGATTGTTGGACTTCATCCTGCCACATCCTTTAGGTTGTGCCTAAATGCCCCTTTAGTTCATTTTTGTTCCTTTAGAGTTTTTCCCAAAGAAGCAAACTCAAATCATAAATTTAAAATCTCACTTTCTGCTTCAGCAATCACATTTAAACACGTCACAAAACAACTAGAAAAAATAATTACACATTTTTTGTACAATTTCTTATGTGACTCGCATAATTCCGCAACCATTATTATACTATTTGTATATTTCAAATTTATGATTTGAGTTCACTTCTCTCTCAAACTTTTCCATAATTATCTTATAGCAAATAAAAAAATTGAAATTGAAACCAAATCCATACGTAAACTTAGCTTCCAATAAGTTATTTATTTAAAAACTGATTCCAGAAGTCTTAAACAGTCTGTGGATATTAGGTATAAGTCTGCCCTACTATGATAACTCATTAGGTACTTTAATATGCTTGTTTCATGCTTAGGATTATTGCAATTTACAATAAGGCTGAAAGACATTCATTATATTTATATACAATGAAGCATTTGAAATGAGTCAGTATGCAGAGTTACTGTTGCAAATGGTAACTAAAACCAAAAACCAATCTTATTAAAGACCGGGAACTGCATCTGGTGTTATTTTGGAACTAATATTGATATATGTAATTACTCTTGCTGTGTATGTACAGGACAACACCAATTTTCCTCGTACCTGCTACTTGACATTTAAAATAAATTACAGTTTTTGGTTGACTTCAATGTTTATCATTATTTTTTTTTGACAGGGCGTTTTCATAAATCCTGCTTTCATTGAGCCATTTGGGCTTACCCTGATTGAGGTATACCTTATTGCTACCTCGTATTTAATCTTTTAATTCATGGAAATTGGAAAATCAAAATCTGATTTCTTTACATTGACAGGCTGCAGCTTATGGTTTGCCAATTGTTGCAACAAAAAATGGTGGTCCTGTTGACATACATAGGGTAATTTTCTAATGTTCTTACTATGTTAAAAAAACTGTAAGGTTTTTATGTCCTATTAATTTTTCGTGAAGCTTGCATCAATATTACTTTTTGTGTTACAGGTTCTGGACAATGGGCTCCTCGTTGATCCGCATGATCAGAATTCTATTGCTGATGCTCTTTTGAAACTGGTTGCCGACAAGCATCTTTGGGCAAAATGTAGGGCAAACGGTTTGAAAAACATTCACCTCTTTTCATGGCCGGAACACTGTAAAAACTATCTCTCAAAAATAGCGAGTTGCAAACCAAGGCAACCTCGTTGGTTGCGCAATGATGATGATGATGAAAATTCAGAATCAGATTCACCGAGTGACTCCTTGAGGGACATACATGATATATCTTTGAACTTGAAATTCTCCTTTGATGCGGACAAAACCGAGGGCAGAGAAAATGTAGATGACTTTGAAGACCGGAAAAGTAAGATTGAAAATGCTGTCATGACATGGTCCAAAGGCGTCACAAAGAATGCTCAGAAACCTGGAGATCAGAATTCCAATGCTGGCAAGTTCCCAGCACTGAGGAGGAGAAAGCACATTTTTGTGATTGCTGTAGATTGTGATGCGAGTTCGGGTCTCTCTGAAAGTGTTAGGAAGATCTTTGATGCACTAGAGAAGGAAAGGGCTGAAGGTTCGGTGGGATTTATATTAGCAACATCCTTCAACATTACAGAAATATGTTCTTTTCTTATTTCAGAAGGATTGAGCCCGACAGACTTTGACGCCTTCATCTGCAACAGTGGTGGAGATCTCTACTATTCATCCCTTAATTCGGAGGATAACAACCCGTTTGTTGTGGACTTATATTATCATTCGCATATTGAGTACAGGTGGGGTGGTGAAGGGTTGAGAAAGACCTTAGTACGCTGGGCAGCTTCTATAATAGATAAGAAGGGAGAAAACAAAGAGCATGTTGTTGTTGAAGATGAAAAGACTTCAGCTGACTACTGCTATTCGTTTAAAGTGCAGAAGCCTGGTGTGGTAAGTAAGCCTGTCCCCTTTCACATCTTCTTTTCATTCTTTTTCGAGCGATCAACTAATTCAACAACCATAATTGGTGGCATTTAACTTGAGGCTTTTGTTTTCAATGTAGATTCCCCCTGTAAAAGAAGTTAGGAAGCTTATGAGGATTCAGGCATTACGTTGTCATGTTGTCTATTGCCAGAACGGAAGTAAGATTAATGTAATTCCGGTCCTGGCATCTCGTTCGCAAGCTCTCAGGTTAGATTCTTGCTGAAGGATTCTGCATTCTTACTACATTTGTTTTATTTCCTCGCGTTCCACGGATGATGCAATGAATTTGAAAGTACTACTGTTGATAATATTTGATTTGAAGTTGGATCTTATTATATAACTTAATAACATGTAATAAAAGCAAAAGAATTCAATTTAATTTATTTTTTATTCTAATACTGAGTTTGTTTTGTTCAATGAAATGCATTGAGATGTCGTATATATAGTGCGCGCTGACACACACACATAAAAGGCAGAGTTGTATGACATAAAGTCAATCATCTTTAAAGTAGAAAAATTATGCATGATGTGGAATATTAATACCTTGTAAAATATTAAATGAATACCATTACCAATAAAGTTTACGTGGTCGCTCTATAATTTACTTGAAATTTGGGTTAAATATCTATATGGGTATGGCCAGTAAGTTTTATATAGAATGATAATGGAAATGCATTAGATCTTGATCAGATCCAACTGTTTGAAGTTGACATTGAGGATTAATTGGGATGTTTCTCTAGAAATTGACACGTTTAGCATACTTTGTGCTTTTACATTACCAAAATCTCATTTTTCATTTTCATCGTTTTGTTTGCATCATTCATGTACTAGAGGAAGAAAATAGGAATAACGACTAGTGAATTTATCAAATTAAAAAGCTAAACAAAACATGGGAGCGGGAAAATATAGGATACCTTTTTATAGATTATTGCTTAATCATATATATAGAGAGAACAAGGTCGTCTTTACTTTATGAGCAACCTAACCCTCCTCAATGGCTTATTCTTTCAATTTACATGGAAATTGGCGTTGTATAGCAGCAGCCAAATGCATTTATATCTGTCTTGGTTGTCTATTAAGTTCTTCTGCAACTTGATAATCTGTTTGTGAATTCTGGTTCACATTTGGGCTCTCAATAATGTTATACAATAGAGCACTTGTGTACGGTTCCAAAATAAATATTTCATCTAAGAGGGAAACATTGTTATCTAAATCAACCATATGAGAACCACAATCTTGTAGATAAAGTGGCATTGTTCAAGCCTTTTGTACCTCTCAGTTTCTTAGGGATTTAGGCTCCCCTCCCTGCCAGTCTACCATGAAACCTATTAAAGAAAGAAATAATAGACCATATTGCATTATTTAGTAACAGTTGTCGTGAAAAATTAGCTGATGGAACCTATTAAAGAAAGAAATAAGGGATCATATTGCATTGTTTAGTAACAGTTGACATGAAAAAATATCTGATGGAACCTTTTAAAGAAAGAAATAGGAGATCATATTGCATTATTTGGTAACAGTTGTCATGAAAAATTAGCTGTGCTTCAAGTATTCTTTAATAGTAAATTGTAGGTTATTTATTTGTCTATTGTCGAGGGCATCCCCATTTTCTGTGATTTTGACTGCACACGAATGAATTCAATTAGCAGTTTCTTAGCGAGGACTTTTAATTTGCATCTGTCAATTCTACTATTCGAATTCCTTTGCATTTATTTTAAGAAAAATGCTACAAGTACATATAATAAATGTACATAGAGGTGTACATAACACTCACATGGAGTGGGGTCCACTATATTTTTTACTTTTGGTGGGACCCACTTAATGTGAGTGTTATGTAAACCTTTATGTAAAGTATTGTGTACTTATAGCATTTCTCTTTTTTTAAACACCCTACTTCAAACAAAACTTGTAGTTGACATCTTTCGGTAAGAAACCTTTGAAATTTTGTCGGAGCTTTCTGTTTCTTGGTTTAAACACAATAAATAAATGTATGGTTCATAGGTACTTATACCTTCGCTGGGGTATGGACCTGACAAAAGTGGTGGTATTTGTCGGGGAAAGTGGAGACACTGACTACGAAGGTTTGCTTGGAGGCATTCACAAATCCGTGGTGCTGAGTGGAGTTTGCAGCAGCTCAAGCAACCAGCTTCACGCCAACCGAAACTACCCACTTTCTGATGTCATTTATTATGAAAGTCCCAATATTCTGAGAACTTCCCAAGGATGCAACAGTTCTGACATCCGAGAATTACTGGAAGAAGTTCTTAATGGCTGAGTTTGCAGACCAAACTTTACGTTTTCAGCTCTTCAAGTTCAACTGCTTGGTTTGGCTTGAAACGGTAAACTGTGGGAGCTGATGTAATTTGTATTGGTGAATTTGGATTTAACAATTTACGGCGATAAGTACCCGTCGATGTGGCTGAGGTGGGAGTCAGCATCATGTTTTTTATTCGTTTCTATTTTGTTTTTGACTCCATGCACGTGAATAAGTATGGCCATATTAAAATTAATTGAGAGTATGGCATATACTACTATGTTGTCCGGCTAAGGGCATCTTCACACTAT